CCGTGTGTGAAGGGTCATAACGCTCGACCGACGCACATCTGGAGCAGACACGTCGCACACAGCTTCCGACAGGGAGGCGCTCCCCCTGGTCGACGGGGGTCTAAACAGTCGGCTCATCGTGCACAGTTTGCTCCTGCCAGTCGGTGCCAGTTGAGTTCATCCGTTTCCTGTCGAGGGTTTGGTTTCCTGCCGCTCTGAGGGGGCGTGAAGCTGAAGAGGATTCGGATCAAAGAAAAGAGGCAGTGAGGTTGTTTCTGTGCTCGGTCACCAGGTGGATCTCTCTGCACATTGAAAAATTTTTTTTTATAATCAAACCAACATTTTAATTATTTGCATATTGATTAATTTTAGTCTTTGATTATTCAATTAATTGTTTGCTCTATAAAAAAAAAAAAAATGATCATCACAATTTCCCCTCGGCCAAAAATGAACATATTCATTTATTTAATTGTGGTGCTTTGAAAACTGCTGTGAATTCGCAGCCACAGAGTTTTTTGTGACAAACAAGGTTTTGAAAACTTGACTTGTTTGACACCCGCTCGTCTGGAAAGTGGTGTTTTTCAGCACGAGCTTCTCAAAGAGCTGCAGCTGTCTGTAGAGACGTTACCACGAAACCATGAAAGCCTGAATAAAAAGGACATGAGTCTGCTCTTGGACCTCGAGCTCCCGGGAGGTGTGACTTGAATGCATGTGTCAAAGCTGAGGATATTTTAGAATCACTTCAGAACCCATCACACCGTTTCCCTGTCATCCGGATCCTCACACGTGTGAGTCGGGAGGCGGATTCGGTGTAAGACAGGAAGTAGAGAGTGCAACTCAGCCAAGGCAACGCCATTCACTGTATCTGACAGAAACCAGATCGACAGATAAAGAAAAAAAAAAAGACTGATGTGTGAGAACCAGAGATAAAACATGTCATTTAGTCTCTGGACTGTGATAGTTTCCATCGAGGGACGGAGCTCGGAAGCTGCTGCTGCTCTGACACGAGTCGCTCACTGTGGACGACCTTACAATCAAAACACTTTGATGCACGACTCTCAGTTACGTTGTTGGTGGCAAATACATTTAAACGTGTCATATTAACACTGATACCAACAATAACTCTATTTATAGAACATTGAAATTCATATGTAAGTAAGTAATAGACTATCAAACTGGATTCTGTAATGTTTGGTTGTTCTCGTGTGTAAAATGTTCGTGTTTCTGCTAAGTTTGGTTTTAATCAGTAATTTGATGATATTAAAAAATGATTGACAGCTGAGACTGACACCGGATTGGTCGAGCCCGCGTCGCTCTTCAGGAACAAGACGTCATCGTGTCGTCAGTGATGAAATGAACATTAATGAAGGAAAGTGAGCGTTCTGTGAATACAAGTGATAAATTGTTCGTTTGACAAATGGTGAGACTTGATGAGTCTGATACAGGAAGTGATGAATGTGTCCGGAGCTCACTGTGGTGATGTCGGACACAGCGAGGTGTCAGTAATTATAACAAGCTGTGGTTTGTTGCTTTGGGAACAAGAAATCACTTCACTTTTGTGGATCAGTGTTTTTCCTGCTCCAGGAAACATCCTCTTGACTTCTCGGTAAATATTTTATATTTTTCAATGGTTGAGCTGAAAACATCTTCTTTTTTTTATTCCTCAGCTACAGCCTGGATGTCATAGAACAATGAGGTGCAGCCAGGGACACGATAAACAAGGAGGAGGAGGAGGATGAGGAGGAGGAGGATAATGATGTGTTACAAACTGAGCAGAAGGTGCACAGGGAGCCGAGTGGCTCTTTGGTTGGTTTGTCTTGACAATGACCTAGAATAACAACAACCAGCCTGCGAGCTCATCGTCACAGCACCAGGATCGGAGAGGAGGATGATCCTCTCAGCCCCGGCTGGGTTCACCGATGTGCCGACAGTGCATGTGTGGCGCCGTGACAGAAAGAGCGCGGAACGAATGTGTGAATGTGACTCGTACTGAAAACGTATAGAACCGTAAACTCCTCTTGAGAACAGTCATTCAATGATTGTTATGATGTATAATTCTACATTATTTAAATGTAACGTGACGTCAGAGCTACTGATGATGTGAGAGTCGTGATGTCAGAGTTACTCGTGATGTCAGAGGGGTGATGTCAGAGTTACTCGTGATGTCAGAGGGATGATGTCAGAGTTACTCGTGATGTCAGAGGG